CTACTTAGAACAATTCTCAGCCAGTCAAGAGATATCAGTAGAGGGTCTGGCCACAGTGAATGTTAAATACCCTCACCTTGTGCCAAGATTTTCTGCAAAAAACATTGAAAATAATTTGTAAACAATTTCCACGATCTGTAATTCACCCTTATATGGATGATACATTGTTGGCTGATTCTAAGGCAGAGATATTAGACAAAATGTTTGAGGAAGTAAAGAAAGTTTTGCCTTGCTGGGGATTACAAATTGTCCCTGAAAAGTATGGAGAGGAGATTCTATTAATTATTTAGGATATAAAATAGGTCTACAGAAAATTAGACCACAAGAAGTCCAGATCAGGAGGGATTGATATCAGACTCTGAATGATTTTCATGAATTACTAAGAGAGATTTCCCAGCTACAGACTATTATTGGAGTTAGAAGGGCATGATTTTAAAAACTTGAAAATGACCCTAAAGGGGGACAAGGACTTAAATAGTCCAAGAACATTATGAGTTGAAGCTGAAAAGGAACTACAATGGGTAGAAAAATGAATAATAGAGGCACATGTGTACTGTATCCAAAGATAGACTTATTCTGATTATATTACCACCTAGGGAATACCCTTCAGGGATTGTGGTGCAGAGGGAAGAAACTATATTGGAATGTATATTTCTACCACACACAGAATAAAAATTTAAAACAAATATAGAAAAGATCTCTGATTTGATTTTAAAAGGAAAGTTAAGACTTTGTCAACTGACAGGAATGGACCCAGCAGAAATCTTGGTACCTTTAACTAAAGAGGAAATTTCCTCCTTACGGAAAGATAATGAATATTGGCAAAGTGCTTGCAGTAACTGTTTGTGAATGATTAGCAACAATTATCACAAAAGCGTGAGAATAAAATTCATAAAGAAAATCATTTGGATCCTCCCACACATTGTAAGGAAAGCACCAGTCTCTGGCATCCCTACATTCTACACTGATACAAACAAATCAGGTAAGACAGGGTGTAAATCAGAAAATATAAGTAAAGTGGCTCAAAGCCCTTACAACTCTATACACAAGGCAGAATTGTATGCCATTCTCATGGTACTTTGAGATTTTACAGAGCCTCTCAATATAGTTACTAACTCTCAATATCCAGAGAGAGCCATCCTCCAAATTGAAACTACTGAATTTGTTCCTGATGATACAGAATTAAATTCATTGCTTTTACAATTACATGAAATAATCAGGAATAGGACTCATCCTATATATATAACTCACATTAGATCCCTTACAGGTCTGCCAGGTCCTTTAGCACAATGCAATGATGAATTGATCATTTATTATTAGAAAGTGTGCTGAAATCCTTAGAATTTCATTAAAAACCCACCATGTTAATAGCAAAGGTTTAAAAGAGGATTTTTTTTATAAGCCTGGCAGTGGTGGCGCATGCCTTTATTCCCAACACTTGGGAGACAGAGGCAGGTGAATCTCTGTGAGCTGGAGACCAGTCCGGTCTACAAGAGCTAGTTCCAGGACAGCCTCCAAAGCCACAGAGAAACTCTTCCTCAAACCCCCCAAAAGGATTTTTCCATCACTTAGGAGCAAGCTAAGGAAATAGTAAAAGAAAAATGTCCTACTTGTTCTTCTATAACCAAACTCCTTTACCAGCAGGCAGTAATCACAAAGGTGTATATAGAAATGAAATTTGGCAAATGGATGTGTTTCACTTTGCAGAATTTGGAAAATTAAAATCTGTGCACCATACAACAGAAACATTTTCAGGATTGCAATGGGCAATTGCTCTGAGCTCTGAAAGGGCTGATTCTGTTATCACACACCTATTAGAGGTAATGGCTATTATGGGTATACCTGCACAAATAAAAACTGACAGTGCTCCAGCATATGTCTCCAGTAAATTTTGACATTTTTAAAAAATATTACAACATAAAGCATATAACTGGTATACCACACAATCCTACAGGACAGCAGGTGTTAAGAGATCTCATTGCACTTTAAAGGAAATGCTCTATAAACAGGCAGGGGGAGCCAAGACCCCAGAAACAGATTACATAATGCTTTACTAACCTTAAACTTTATTAATGCTAATGAGAAAGGAAAAACAGCCACAGAAAGACATTGGAGAATATAAAAAACTTCTGAGCTAAATCAGCCTGTGTACTTCAAGGATCTATTGATCTCAGTAAGGAAAGCAGGATATGTGTTACATTGGAGCAAGGGTTTCGTCCTTGTTTCTACCGGAGAAGAAAACCTGCCGATACCATCAAAGTTGATCAAGATCCAATTTGAATGGTAGAAACCTCTTGATGAGGAGAAATGATAGGTCACCCACTAACGTATATCCCCCGAGTTGTAGAGAAACCTCACAAAGGTAGGGGGAGTGTTGTGCTCTTGTCTTTACAGGAAAACAGAAAACATCCATCTTCAAGAAGCCATAAGACACCGAAGGCATAGATGCCTAAAGAACAGAGGATAGCTATCCAGAAAGAAGCATCTAACAAAGAAGAATCTGACTTATGGTACCAATATGTATTCATGGTAAAAATCTTTATACTAAACTTCTGTCTCCTTACTTCCCAGTCTAGTCGTAGGCCCAATTCACATAAAAATCAAAGCTGGCTTTAGAGTTGGATTTAGTCTTCCTTCTCCAAATTCAAACATGTTGGTTAAATTAAATTCAGAGTTTCTGTCTTATATCAAAAGGCGAATTGATATAAGACAGAAGAAAACAAAATCTAAGGACTACTAATGTCATAACTCTGTTTTCTCTCAAAAATCCTATTCCCTCATCCTTATTTCTATCCTTATTGTTGCCTTTTCCAGTATGCATACCTGTTAGCATTAAACTTTCTGTGCTGATACTAATTTTTAAGTCTTCCACAGTCAACAACAACAAAAAAATTTACTAAAAGCAATTTGAAATCTCCGGAAAGAAGATGGGCCCCACTTCATCAATTCCACTCGATTCGGCTTGATGTCTTGAAACTAGTAAACACCAGCCTAAGACCGGTTTGGGACTACACTGCTCTAGACAACTCCAGACTAGCTAGCGGAAAGGTTGCACCTTCATATTACACCCTGGCCAAAGCTTCAAGTAAGAACTTCAGTTAAGCATCTCCTGCCACTCAGAGACTAGCTACAAATGTTACAGCTAGTCCTCTCAAGACATTCCTTTGCTTTATTTTTTTTCCTACAGGATCCCATAGAGTTACCTTTGCCCCATTTTAGCAGGAAATAATTCTAAAAAAACAACGCCCCTTTTCCCTACAGTTGGCATTAAAGGTATTTTTTTTTCCCTCTCGTTGCTGAAAAAGGGACAATTATCACCTGCTTAGGGTTGGTTTTAAGTTGTATAGGGTTGGGTACGGAAGGTGATGGTCAGACTGGGGTATCTCTTTTAGATAAGCTTAAGGGTATGGAAGAGAAGTGTTTGGTTTGGATGGGATACAGGTAGATTAACATATCTTTTGGGGAACTACTTTTAAACACCATTAGCTATAGACAACTTATATTGTTAGATTGTTGCATGGTGTTTTGTTTAAATTATTCTGAGGGTTTTCTTTTCGTGTGTGTGTGTGTGTGTGTGTGTGTGTGTGTGTGTGTGTGTGTGTGTGTGTGTTACATATAATTACATTTTTTAAGTCATTGTCCTTGCTAAATTATTTTGGGAAGCTTCAGCCATTGAGAGCACTTGTGAAATTATGTTTCTGAAATCTACAGATTACAGTTACCCATGTTTATTATACCTATGAGATTAGTCAGACGTAGATATTTGATCTTCAAACACTTCAGAGACCTGCTGAATATGGCATTTAAATGTTCTAATATTAGTTCTCTGTTGACATGAGACACAATTGCTCCTGACAGCACTGATCCATTTTGAGAGTGTGATGGGTGCTGATGTCACTCCTTCTGGATTTCATTCTCTCCTCAGCTACTGGCCTCTTGGGGAAAGAACTGCCCCCACCTCAACTGCTGACTTTGGACCTGCTGTCCTACTGTGCTTGGAGGAGATAAACTTAGAAGACTGCTGAACTCTGCCAAGTCAGAGTAAGACAGTCTTTCAACTTCCCTGCTTCTGTGTTGGTCAGTCAGATATTCTAGGCCTTAGTCAAGGCTGATTGCTCCTATGCTGCTTTGAGACTTTGGATGACTGTCCAGGTAGTCTGCTGTTTCTGTCTTTGCTGGTACCTGTTGGAAGTCACTCGCCTGCAATTCCTGCATACCCTAGTATTGTTATCTTCCTTCTCAGGTCTTTGATGATGTTAAAGTTTAGACTGCCACAGTTATTGTCCTCTCTTCTTAGATAGAAATATTAGGTCCAAGACTTAAACTTTCCAGTTTAGGACAACATCATAGTAATCTCTGTTATGCCTTTACTCTGTTACTGGACATGTAGTTCTTGCCAATTGCTCTTGGTTGCTTCACTGGCAGTAGGCCTTAAGATGTGTGTGTTTTTACATTTCATTCGCCTAGAGCATATTTGATATGTGCTATCATTATCTATAGTTTTGTATCAAGCCATAACCTTCTTTAGTCTAAAGAGGCAATTGTAGAAATATATTCCCCTCTGCACCTGTAGCATTGACCATGCCTATTGGGCGTGGTTACAGGAATGGACATGACTGTTCAAAGGGAAATGATCAGGGTCACAGAAAGCATCTGGGATGCAGGGTCTGTATCCTTGGAGCAGGAATGTCGCAACAGTCAGTCACTTCTTTTCTGTGTAAGTTCTTTCCCCAAACAAAAAAATCTACTATGCTATCAGGTATTGTTAATTCATCACTACCCACCTACGTATCATGAGTTGGAAGCCAACCTAAAAAGCTCAGGGAGACCCTGACCCAAAATGTAAATTAAAATAACTTAATTAGCCATCATTGGGGAATGAATCTTATGAAATCTAGGAGGTTATAAATACAAGGTTCAGGAGGGAGATCAACACAATCACGGGGAGAGATAGAGGAGTGAGACTTAGAGCCCAACCCAAGGCCCCATGGAAGTCTCACCCGCATGAAGGAGTTGAGGAGGCCTCTTCTGTCCATCTGCAGGAGGTTCCCCAAGAAGGGCAGAGGACGGGGTCCTGGTGGGAGGTGGCCATGAGCCTTTGGGTGGCCTCTGAGCAGGAGCACTACAAAGCCCAGGAGGAGAGTGAGAAAGAGCAGGACACTGGCTTCCATGGTCATCGTCTGGACATCGTCACTTTGCACTCCAGCAGGACCATTTATGCTCACCATGCTCTCCACGCAGTTATGCAACTTCAGATGTTCCTGCCTCCTCTGTCATCAGTATTCAGGAGGGTGAGCACCTACACTTCCTGTGTGGGCTGCTGGTGACCTGTTCACTCCCTGTCCCCTTACCCCCACCCTAGATGTTGGCAGGGACACCATGAAACTGATACACAGGACATAAGGGCACTGGGAGTAATGCATCTCACTTTCTGTGTTGAGTGTAAACATGCCAGCTCAGATTTATCTGTTTATTCAAGCATGAAACTTGGTGTGTGCACTGTATGCCTTTCCTATGTGAAAGGTCATTTCTAATATGAATGTGCAGGTGTGTTTCTGTGTTTGAGCCTAGATATGTTAGCTAGTATATTCTTGCATGTATAATCTTCAATTGTGGAGGCCCTTCTTTATGTTCTTAGCTTCATATGTGAATGTGATTACATTTAACTGACAAGAAGAGTGTTTGTTGCCTGTGTGTCTCTGTGTGTCTATGCAGTCCCCAACCCACATTCTTCAGTGTCTGCTGATGCAATTTCTCCAGAGTCCCCTTTGCACTATCGGGGACCTGACAGCCACAGATGGGAGAAAACGAAGAGAGAGAAGGAGAGGCAATGTATTCAGGAGTGCAGAGTGCCACGGACCACCCCAGCCAGACATGGGAGTCTCTGGGATGAGGACTCGATGAATAGGTGGGTAAGGATTCAGTAGTGATAAACAGAAAAAAAAAACAGAGGCAGTTTGAATCTGAGAGTATTTTTCAGCTCTCAAGCAAGGTTTTTATAGAGATAGTATCTCGGGGGATGTTTTTGTTAAACAAACCCAAACATACGACATTATTTTTTACTTGGCACAGTGATGCAGAAATCCAAAACATAGCATCATCCAGGGTTAATCAAAACACAAAATTGTCCTTGTTTAATCAAAACATAGGCCTGCCCTTGATTAACATAGGGTCATCCAAGAAGAACCTCATATTTCTTAAATCAACTCAGTATATTTTTATGGTCAGTTATTGTTTAACATCTATTACCTAGTTCTTATGAGTTTTTGAAATATTGAGCTATTTTAACTATTTTAACTCTTTCTTATTAAAAGCTTTCTTTACCAGACTCTTAAGCCCCCTGTCCATGACACATGTGCAGCTGTATGGAATTTTATTGTTGGGAAAGTTTTTCCTATTTGTAGTTATGTGAATGATCAGGAAAGCGCTGGTTTTTCCTGAGATGAGGTCATGGCTAGTGACCCCATCAGAGGTGATGGTTTCTTATCTATTTCTTTTGTTTAAAATGTCAGCATAGGCTTTTAGGAACACTTCATTAATGAGAAAAAAAGGAATAGAGGAACAAACAGAAATTGCCACAAGAACCACAGCCCAATATTTTTCTCCAGCTGAGAATTCCACAACTGTTTCCAGGAGACCTCCTTCTTTTGAAATTATCACCTCAGTCTGTGGAACTTGTTCCACAGAATCTACTGGGTTTGTTGTGGCATCTCTCCATTTCTTTTTTTACACTGTGGCAGCAGAGGCTCTGGAGCCAGGAGGAGAGAGAGGCTGAAACCTGTCAGAGGAGCAGTTGGAACCTCTGGGTGTCTGTGCTGGCTAGCTTTCATGTCTACTTGATTCAAGCTAGGGTCATTTGAGAGGAAGGAACTTCAGCTGAGAAAATGCATCCATAAAAATCACACTGCAGGGCAATTTTTAATTAGTGATTAATAATAATTGATAGTTCATTGGATGTGCTGCTATCCCTGGGCTGGCGGTCCTGGGTTCTATAAGAAAGTGGATTGAGCAAGCCAGGAGGAACAAGCCAGTAAGTAGCACCCTCTCTGCCCTCTGCTTGAGTTCCAGCCTCTAGGATCCTGCCCTTACTTCCCTAACTGATTGTCAGAGTCCATAAAGAGGGGCCCATTTCATCTTGCCTTAAGATCAGAGAGTTCAAAACTGTCCTCATACCTATAAGTCTATAGCTTGGTGGCTGCAGGATGTTTCAGCTTTGGTAACAGATGTCTTTATGTAAACAACAGACTTGGGCTCAGGTGTGTTTACTCTTGACCCTGAAGGCAGGATAGCAGGTGTGGCTACCAAATACTTGGAGGATTAAGGGAAGTACATCTGTTTGCTCCTTATACACGATAATAGAAGTCTTTTGCCATTGTCCCCACTTCTGGTGGGGTACTTAAGAATGTTAAAGAATAAAGTAAGTGTGTTCAGTATGGACTGAATTCGCACTGCTAACAATATTCCTGTGTCTCCGTCTTTTCTCTTAACTCCTTTAGCTAGCCTGTCTTTATCCACACTCCCCCTTTCAGATAAGAAACCTGGGCAAATCGGGTGGCACCAACTGCAGTCCCACAAAGACAGATACCCACAGACGACCAACTGTAAAGTGGTACCTTGCGAAAGTCAGGAAAGGATAGACTCTAAGCCTGAAATCACCATGGTTTACTCTGCATTAGGAAGACTGACATAAGCACCAATCCTTGCCTGAGTAACTTAGCAAGGACTTATGTCCAAATTAAAACCATAAAGGTGTTGGTGATGCCGGGCATTGGTGCCACATGCCTTTAGTCCCAGCACTTGGGAGGCAGAGGTAGATGGATCTCTGTGAGTTCAAGCCTGGTCTCCAGAGCGAGTGCCAGGACAGGTTCCAAAGCAATACAGAGAAACCAGGTCTCAAAAAATAAAAGAAAACAAAACAAAAAAAGTGTTGGTGATGTACCACAGCAGTAGAGTTACTTTTTTATTGCTGTTATTAGACACTATGACAAAGACAACTTACAGAACACAGAGTGTCTTGGGACTTTCGTACAATTCCAGAGTGTTGGACTCCATGATTAAGAGGGAGAGAGCAAGGCAGCAGGCAGACAGGCATGGTGTTAGAGCAATAGTCCAGAGCTCACATCCTTATCTACCAGCATGAGGGAGGGGGTAAATAGAGATGGTTAGGTTTTTGAAATCTCAAAGCCCACCCCCAATGACATGACTTCTCCAAAGGCCACACTTCCAAATGCTTCCCAAATGGTTCCAAGAACTGGGGACCAAGCATTTAGATATATGAGTCTATGGTGTCATTCTCATTCAAACACCTTACCTGGACCTGGCCATCAACAGCGAAAGACTTGAGGCTCAGGGGTATGACACTAGATAGCCTAAATGAGACCATAAGTCTAATCCTCATTACAGAGAGAAGCCAGGTAGGAGAGGAGTGAAGTTTGATGTGTATGAAAATGACATATGAAATCCATTATTTTATATATTTAAAATGAAGAGGAGCTGGGAGATAGGTCAGTCATAAACATACCTGTCATACAAGCATAGGACCTCACGGGAACCCCAGCACCCACGTAAAAGCTGGGCATGAACATGGAGCACATATGTGGAACCCAGCATTTAGAAGCTGGAGCAGGCAGAGACAGGTCTCATTGACCAGTCAGCCAGCCTAGCTGAACTGATGAACTACAACTCCAGTGAAAGACTCTGTCTCAAACTAATTGAATTAACTACTTAATTAATCAAACTATTTAATTAAATGGACAAGTGAAGAAGATACCAACATCACTGTCTGGTCTCTAACATAAGCATGAGCAACACACACACACACACACACACACACACACACACACACACACACACACACTCAAATTTTTTAAAGAAAAAACATTTAAAGCATTTTGTACAGGTTTAATAGTGTACACAGAGTGGCCACAAAGGATCTGTTGATGTAAGTCATGTGTGTGTATCTTACCTTTGCTTTGAGGTTTCCCATTTGGAAGTCTAGGGACATGTAGTTGGCATTTCTTTTCTACCTGGTCCCACAGCCCTTTAGCCCCAAATAAAAAAACAAGAGACTTAAATATCAACTATTTGGCCAATGGCTCAGGCTTTTTATTGGCTAGCTCTCTTTTAATATTTAACCCATTTCTCTTAATCAAAGTATTGCCCGTGGAAGGGTCTGGCAATCTATCTTCTCAACAGCTACATGGGGTCTCCCCAGAGGCTTCTTGATGCCTCTCTTCTACCCAGCATTCTCGTAGGTTGGTAGATCCACCTATACTTCCTGCCTGGATACTGGTCAATCAGTGTTTTATTCATCGACCAATTTCCCGTGTCAGTGACAGAAGACCTACACAGAAGAACTTCACAACAGTGAAACCTATCAGGAGCCCAGAGCTATGATGCTCAGTGTCTTGTGGTTGGCATCCTTCTGCCACAATGGGGTCTCAGAATGTTTGATTTCTTATTTAAATGGTTATTCCCATGAGGTAGGACTTTCCCCTTGTTCTCCAGTCATTGCTCAATCCTTCTTAGGGAGAGAATCGAACACCTAGCAACCTACAAAAAAATGACCCCACATTTTAAACAAGGAGCTTTGAAGGTCTAACTTTATCAAAGCGTGTGAGTTGGAAGCCCACTCTAAGCAATCTTACTATCACCAAATTGGGTGCCAGTGGACGATGCAGGAAAGTTGATAAAAACATGAATGATGCTGGACTTTGTTGTTTCTGAGATAAGAGGTCTCATTTATACCATGCTGGCCTCGAATTTGCTTTGTAGCCAAAAACTATCTTGAACAGATCCTCCTGCCTTCCCAAGTGCTGCGATGAAAGGTGGGCACCACCACCAAGTCCATGAGGTGCTGGGTGTTGAAGGCGGGGCTTCCCACCTGCTAAGAAGCGCTCAACCTATGGAGCTACAGCCCCTTCCTTAAACCTCCTTTTTAAATCATCAGTAAGTTGACAACTGTACATGCAAGCAAACATTTCATATTATAGGACACATCCCAAATTACTACAAACTCTGCTTCCCAAATGCTGAAATTAAAGGTGTATGCCATGGCACAAAGGAACAGTGTCATGTAAAGGGCCATGCTTTTTTCCTTTTTTCTTTCTTTTTCACCTGTAAGGTTTCATTTACCACTTTTCATGGATTATGCCATCAGTGTCAAATCTGA